ATTGTGTTTTGTTCTTTACTTTTTCAGGTGTTTGCGTTTACCGTATTACAAATCACAAAAAAAAAAACGAAGAAAGAAAACCGCCATATTTATTTACTAGTTATCATTATTATTATCATTATTATTATTTTTTTTTTTAAACGGGGGAAAAAAATCAAAATCGGTTGTTATTATTTTTGTTATATTTTTGTAATGGACTTTATTTATTAATTTATTTTTTTTTTTTTGTATAATAAATAAATAAAAATGATGAAGTAATAATAATAATAATAATAGTAATAATAATAATAATAAAGTAAATGTGGTCTCGTTATTTATTTGTTCCTCGGTAGTAGTTTATGCATATTTGTATAACGTCGTGATGTATTTAATCGATGTCCTCATTTCATATTTTTGACGCCATTTTATTATTATTATTATTATTATTATTATTATTATTATTTTCTCGTCGGCCTTACGTCGTTATATACGCGTAATATATATGTAATATAATAATGTTTATAAAATAATAATTTTCCGTTTTTTTTTAATATTTTTTTTTATTTATTTTTTGATCGTATGACGTTAATAATTGTAAGAAGCATTCCTCCGGTCGACATTGTAATTGTGTGAGTGCGTAAGTGCGTGACTGCGTGTGAGTGCGTGTTTTTCATTATGATTAATGATGATGATGATGATGATGATGATGATTGTTTGCTACTTTTAACTTTTATTTACATATCGTGTAATAAATAAAAAAGTTTTTTTTTTGTTTTTAGTTCAGTTTAATAATAATAATAATATTTGTATATTTATTATGAATAAAAATGACTGATTGATTGATTGATTGATTTTTTTTTTTAATCGACTGATAAGAAATTTCATTGATAATGTAATTAATTACAAAAATTTATTTTTTTAGTCATTTTTAAATAATATTTGTCCTTTTAATATGATTTTATTATTAATTTTATTATTAACCGCCATGTTTGTACTTTATTTGAATTTACGAAATCATATTTAATTAATCGATTATAAAAAAGAAAATTATCACGAGTGATTTAGGATCAATCAAGTATTGATAGGTTCAAAAGTTAGGTTTGGCCTTATTTCACTCATATGAGGTTATAAAAAGAATTAATAAACATTGTTACATAAAAAAAATTTATATTTAAAAAGTCAACAATTATTAAAATATATACAATTTTATTCGTCACATAATAAAAAATACAAATAATAATCACAAAAAAAAATTATAATTACATTTAGGAATGTTATTTCATTTAAAAAATAATAAATAAATATTTACAACAAAAAAATTTTAAATAAAATACTTAAAAAATTATTTTAAAAAAAAGATAAAATCAGTCAGTCTTAAACGTTTGATAACATCTTAATTTTCATTCGAATTAAAAATATCGAAATTACTTATAAAAATTAAATACTTCATATAAAAAAGTTTCATTTATGCAATTTAGTTTTTTTTTGTAAAAAAGTGTTTAAAAAACTCAGTCTTATCGCTAAAAAAAATTTCCAAAGGCAATTTAAAACGATGATTTACTTAAAATTTATTTTTTATAAATGCTGGCAGTCATTTTGTTCATTTTCTGTTAAATCATTAATATTTGTCTGACTTAAAATTTTCTTGTATTCTTTGACAGTTATTTTTTTAGGTATTAATTCTAAAATAATATAAATAATATTTAAAACGTTAAATTAATCAACATGAAACTTACTTGTAAACAAATTGACAGTAAACTTTAAATTGAAGTAAACCTTTTAAAAATTCAAATTTTGATTCATTATTAACAATGTGTGCTATACTTTCATATTTTAATTCATTAACGTTTTGTCCGTACATTAATGATTCTTGTGCTAAATACTGAATAAACAATTCCTATAAAAAAAATTTAAAAAAAAGTTACTGTTAAATATTTCAAATGTTAAAAACAAATTTTGTTTTTTCTTTTTTGTTATAAAAATGTATTAACGTATTCATTTAAATAACTTACTGTCGCTTTTGCGACTAAATAAATAGATTCGTTACTGATATTTTCAACTTGTGGTGAACTTTTCATAATAACTTTAACTCTAGATACGGGTAAATTTAAATACTTGTTGGTATTATTCGCCATTTTTATTTTACAGGTTGGCCAACATAAATTAAAATAATTCCCGTCGAATCACTCTTTCAGTTCCTTTGCATTGTAAGGATTGGAGTGAACATCTGTTTCAGCAATCTTTTAACTTTATTTTAATTGTAAGTAATTTTAATATCATTTATTTTATTTTAATTCCTTCTTATTTAAGCATAATAAATTGATTTACATCATTTTTAACCGTAGTTAGGTTTTTAAATTTACATATTTTCGATTGCTTATTTTACTCCCTCTGTTACTTTTGTAAATGTTTTGCAAAACCTTGCAAAACTTAAAAAATGCTTGTTTTTTTTAAGTTTTTTTTACTATAATTTTTTTTTTTTTTATAAAAATAATTTTATTAAATACGTTAATTTAAATTATTTTTACATTTGTAAATTTAACGGGAATATTCATGTTGACACATTGCCATGCGGAACTTTAACATCATTTCGATGACTTAATGTCAGTTTTAATAGGTTATAATTTTTTTTTTTTTTTTTTTAATTTTTTCAGTTATAGTATATATAAAATGGCATCGAATTTGGCTTCCGATAAATTTTGGGTTAATAAAAATATGTATCACGACGCAGAAAAAAAATATTATGAACAAATGGCAAAGGTAAATTTTTTTAATATTTAGTTCATCAAAAAAATTTTTTAAGTCACTAATTATACTTTTTCCCTTTTTTTATTAAATTAAATTTTATATTGTTATAAATTTAAAGAAAAATGAAAAAATAATACTACTACTATCATATGTTAATTTTTTTTGCCTCATGTAAAATATTACATTAAAAATTGTCATTTTATTTTGATAATGAAAACCTTTTTTTTTTTTGGTATTCTGGTTTCAGCGATATTTTAATATTAAATTCTGCTTTTCTCATTTACATTTTTACTAATAATATATAACATTTAATAAATATTTAAATAACCTACTCTCTAATGCTGTTATATATATTTTAAATATTGCTTTTGTATTCTTAATACGATTTTTCTCGGAATCTTGTAATATAATTAAGGTTAACTATATGTTATATAAGAATTAACAATTATTAACTTTTGGTACTTATTTAAAGCTTATTTAAATTTTCTTCTCTTAATTAATGGTGAAGTTACTAAATTATGCTCATGGTTTCAAATATTTTGCATTATATTGAAATTACAGTTTGTCGAAAGGTAAAATATTCGAATTGAAGATTTCATTTAAAAAATGTATAGTGTAAAAAAAAAAAAAAAAAAAATTATCGAAATTTATTAAATCATTTATTTTTGAATATTGCATGCCATCTTGGTGAAACTTAAAAAAAAAAGAAATTTTTTTTTTTTATTGCATAATCTTGCATGTTTGGCAAGGTGTAATTCAGTGTTTATTTATCATCTATTAGGGTGGTGTGAGCATGAAGAAGGTTGTTAATATGGATGCGTTTCCCAAAAGTTCGCTAGCTGGAGAAGTTGCCAAAGCACGACAGCATATAAAATCATCATTGGAATGTGTGAGTAAACATTACTGTAGAATCATTGTTTGGGAGACGCACGCAGCCCCCCACCCCACCTTTTTCTCTTGGTGACATGCTTATTTCTATTATAAATAATTTAAGGCTTTTATTAATAACGTTTGATGGTTTTTTTTTTTTTTTTTTGGCAATTTAATAATTTCAATTAATTTTTCATTAATGGAAAACTCGAATAGTAAATTTACTCGATTAACACAAAAATGTCCACTTCTTTATATATTTATATTTTATTTCTCCCCCCCCCTCCCCAAAAAAAAAAGAGGAAAAAAAAGAAAAATATAACATGTATTAATTAATTATTATTTTTAATTAGATGGATAAAAACATGTATAACGGACTTGCTATGACACAAAGTTCTATGACTGCATTTTTCGAAGAAATTAGTAATTCAATAATAAACCTCACGAAAAGACTAGAAATCGTCGAACAAAAATTAAATTTAGTAAGTCCTCAGGTGTCAACAAACAATGCTGCCAACAGTCAACCGCCTGCTTCACGTGGTAGTAAACCTCCTTCTCAACCCAAAACGAAGAGCAAAGATGTCAAAGAGGATGATGATGATGTTGACCTCTTTGGATCTGATTCCAACGTAAGAATTTTTCCTTTCGAATTGTTTTTTCTTTTTTTTTTTAAATGGAAACTAATAAATTATCGAATTAGGACGAAGATGAAGATGCCAAAAAAATAAGGGAACAAAGATTAGCGGAATATGCGGCGAAAAAATCAAAGAAACCCGCACTTGTTGCAAAATCTAATATAATATTAGACATAAAACCTTGGGATGATGAAACGGACATGAAGGAAATGGAAAAAGCGGTTCGTGCAATACAAATGGATGGTTTAGTTTGGGGAGCATCGAAATTGATGCCGGTGGCCTTTAAAATTTTCAAATTACAAATTTCTTGCGTTGTGGAAGATGATAAAGTATCCGTTGATTTATTAACGGAAACGTTAGAAGCCATCGAAGATTATGTAAGTTTAAAATAAATATTTGTCTTTTTAAGCTTTTCGTCTGCCTTTTTTTTCGATGGAAAAATTTTTTCTTTGTTTTTTGTTTTCAGATACAAAGTGTTGACATAGCAGCATTTAATAAAGTTTAATCATAATTGAAAAATTATGACTTTATTTTTTTTTTTTGGAAGAAAATGTTTAGCACCCGGTTATATTATGAATTCCTCCCTCCCCCTCCCCCCCGGTAACAACATTCCAAAATTTTTTTTCTTTGTTTTCTTATTCCAAAACGAGCTTATTATTGTTTTCTTTTTTTGTACTTTTGTTCACTTTACATATATACAAATGTGATGATGAAAGGATTAAAAAAAAAATAAATTTTTTTATATATATATATATATGTATGTATATTTTTTATATTATTTATTTATTTTTCTTTTTATTATTATTATTATTATTAGCTTTGATTTTTTGATGTTGTTTTTTGCTGTGTTTTGATCGACTTCCGGCAAATCGTTCATTTCCTTTATTTTAACTTTTCTTTCTTTTTTATTTTGAGATGGTTGCTTTTTATCCTGTTTCTTTTTCGAGGGTTGTTTAAATGCCGACAATTCTCTCATGTGTGCCAATTGTGATGTGATAAAATTCCACATGAGATATGCTTGAAGAGAGCCGACTGTAAAAAGCGCTAATATCCTGAAAAATAAAATAATAATGATGATGATGATGATAATAACAAGGAATAAATGAAAAGAGAAGGAATAATGAAATCGATACAAACCTTAAAACTTGATTGTTGTAATTACCAGTTGATAAATTGAGACCCTGATTTTCGCTCAGTGAAAGACCATACCAAAATGTTAAAACGGAAAGTATGATCGATGTGAGACGTACAAAAACGAAAACAACTTTTGATATCAAGTAACCGACTAGAAACAAAAAAAAAAGTATTTAATTAATAACAAAATCTTTCTTTTGCACTTGACATTTTTTTTACTTATTGTTTACTAAACCAAGTTAAAAACTAAACAAGGTCTTTAATTAACCTTAAAACTGTTATTTATAATTTTGTTTATATATATATTTTTAGTTGAAAACAAAACATTGATGTCATTAAAACGATTTTAAAGCTTCGATTGAAATCAAAAAAAAAAAAATTTCTCTTTCTAAAAATGGCATTAATGTGTCATACATTATGTTTCCAAAAATATCTCAGGGAGAAATCACTTAAAATATTTTTCTCATTTTTAATTAATCATTTGTCAATTTTGTATTTACAGAGATTAAAAAAAAGTAACAACAACTCACCTTGAGAGCCATTTTCATTTTTGCTTGTAAAATCTAAAAGTCTTGCACCGTGAAAAATAGCTTCGGAAATATAATGAAGAACAACAAGACACAATCCGACTCTTGTAAAATTGAAAAGATAAGCTAGGAAAATGAAAGATAAATATGATGAAGCTTGTTTAACTTTGTGTGGAATATCTTCTTTTTTGACTTTTTCAAAATAAAGTTCGGCATAGCAGTGTAACCAATAGGATAATTGAATAATGTAAAAAAATTTAAATGAAAAAGTCATTTCTGCATGAGGATAACCTTCCCATAAGCTAGCTATGTTGAACAAATAATTTTCCCTGAAAAAAAAAAATTTTGTCAATAATTTACTCGATACTATGAGAATTTCAATTTTTAAAAAAAAAAAAAAAAAAAAAAAAGGAAAATATTTACCTAAAAATTAGGTCAACTCCCCAAAGTACTGACAATGCATAGAATACGAGTAATTGTCCTGATTCGTTAAACAAATTGTGTTTCACTTTAGATAAATGTAATTTTCTAGTAACTTTCTAAAAAGTAAAAAAAATTGTTTTGTTTAATTTTTCATCTTAATTTTTTTTTTTTTTTAGAAAACAGGTAAAAAAAAAACTTACATCTAGAAAATATTCTTGAACCAGAGCATGCATAACAATACAAAAAAGAAAATAAAAGAAAACGGCACAAATATCTTTCCAACCGCTTGTAAAATATGTTACTTCAGGAGGCTGACCTGGCAAAGTGACATTATGCTGTACTGCTATAAACATATAAGCTAACGGTGATGTTGTCTGGAAAAAAAAAAAAAAAAAAGAAAATTTTAAATTAAAATTAAAACTTATTTTTGAATGAAAAATCATTTTTTAAACTTTACACAATGTAAAATGATAAACGGAGAAGGTATACGTGTAAGTGTTAAAAAAAAAAATTCATACGATTCGTTGGTATGTGTTATATAAAAAAAATTTTGATAACCGATTTCACTTAAAGTTTACGAAAAATAAATAAAAATTCTTACTTGTATTAAAAGTCCGACAACAAATAACAAAGCAAAGCAAGAAACAATATCTCCATGATTTTGTATAACAAATTCATGACTGAATATCGGTGGACTTTTATTTGATGATTTCCTTCCTCTCAAACCCATTTTTACTATGACTGCTGCAGACCAACTAATGCTTGACAATATATTTAAACTGTAAACGTCAACACCGGAAACACATACAATTTGTAAAGATTTTGTTAATCATTGTTGCCAAAATATGAAATGATCAACAAACTGACGCGTGGACCACGGATGTTAATTAATAATTATCGAAGATGGAGAGATGGAGTCTTTTTTTTTTCAGGCCATAGACATAAAAATCATTTTTTTGGAATCCGTTGAATATTCACAGGTAAGTGTTAATTTTATTCTTTTTTAACGTTTTTTTTTCATAAAAAAATAAAATTTATGGATGTTTTCGTGCGTACAAAGCCATTTTATCAACTTACTTATCATAATTAGTATTAAATAGTTATTTAATCAAAAATTTTTTAACGTCTTTTACGCATTCCCACAAATACAAAAAACAATTTTTTTTTTCAAACATAATTCATAAATTTGAAGGAGATTAATATAATAATAATAATAATAATAATAATAATAATAATAATAATAATAATAATAACAAATTATTAAACATAAATAAAACCTTTTATTAAAAATTAAACAAATAAATATTTTTCTTAAATCGAATTTATTATTATAATCATGTATAAAAATTAAACGAAATTTTTTTTTTAAATTGATTTTTTTTCACTGATAAAAAGTAATTTTAAAATAAATAAAATATTTTTTGTTTTCCGTTAAATAATAATAATAATAAGTTAATATTTTGTTTAATTTAAAAAAAAAAAAACATTTTTTCTACATCATAACAATTAGTGCATATAAATATAAATAACCGCTATTGTGAAAAGTGATTGATTGAAATTTTATCGTTACAGGAAATACGTCATAAAAGGAAAAACCGTTAAAAATGGACAAGTCTTTAATATGTTTTTGGAAAACTACTAAAGTAAAATCTATGATAAAAGTTTGATTTATCGTATCCGTTACAACAATTTACGCAACCGGATATAGCAAATCATCCGGAATTACAGAATATCTTATAACGGCTGGAGATTTATGACATTCATTTTGTGATCTAAATTGTGACGGACATGTAACGCATCTTTTTAAAAATAATATAAAACCGAAAACACTAAATATGGCCAAACTAACTCCGAAAAAAGTTAATACTTTAAAACTGTATGAATAAATTTGAGTTTCCTCTCCTGGAGTTTTATAATCCGATTGCAAAAGCTCGTAAGTTAAATTTTGTTCTCTCGTACGATTTTCTTCAACGTTTTCAAAATTTTCCCTTTTTTTTTTTATTATTATTCTTATTAAAAACCTTCCTCTATCTCTCGGCCAATAATCGTTTGCCTCTATGTACCTTGGATTAACCATTAAAATGGTGTCCGAATCACCGTTTTCCGTTACAAATTGTATATTGTACAAAGCACCGTTGTATTTTTTAAACCATTTCAATGCCGAACCTCTCCATATTTTATCGATGTTTTTAAAAACTACGTCATTTCCGGTTGTTTTATTAATAATCCAAATGTCGACATTATCCAAATAACTCAATATTATAATGGTTTCGTTTGTAAAAAGACTATTTATTATTTCCAACGATGAATTTTCTTCTTTTTCCCAAACTTTTTGTCCTTCCAACGTATTAAAAAATGAATTCATTTGTATTTCACCCAAATATTCCAACGTATTATTATTATTATTATTATTATTCACTTCTTGTTTCAAACGGTAAATTGATTTATATGCATAATTATCATCGAATGTATTATTATTATTATTTTTTTTATTTGAATAATTTTTAAATTTTTTATTATTATAAGATTGACATATTATGTAAACTTCATTTCCGTTTCCGGAATAACGAAAAGAATCCGAACAAATCGGCCAATCGATGTTATCGGGTATCTCGACCTAAAAAATTAATAATAATAATAATAATTTTAATCGTTACTTAATAATAATAATGATAATTAAATGGCGGAATACTTACTAATGTTGAATACCAATGACTCGTTGTTAAATTAAAAATCCATAAAATAATTTTTGGAGAACTTATATCGGCCGTTATAATAATATCATTATTATTATTACACCAAGTAACGGTTTCACTTTCCTCCATGAATTCTGGACAATATTCTGATGATATTTTAGGTTTTATTACGGTTTGTTCTACGACATTTTTTTTCCCATTATCATTATTATCATCATCAATTTTTTTCAATTTATTATTAATTTCATTTAATTTCAAATTATATTTTTCTTTTTTAGATATCACGTGATCTGTCAAATTCGATTCTTTTTCCGTCGTTGATGTTTCGTTAGGAAAAATTTTAACGTTTTTTTTAATTCTTTTATTATTATTATTATTGATATTTTCAACGGTTTTTTTTTGATTAATCGTTTTCTTTTTATTATTATTATTATTAACGTGTCCGTTATTTGTTTCCTCTTCGTTTTCATCTTCTGCTTCGTTAATTTTATCATATATATCCGAAGTGTTTAATTTTTTCACGGGAGGAGATTTTTTCTCTGACGTCATAATATTTGAATTGTTGCTGACGTCACAGCAACAAACGTATGCGGTCCAAATTGTATTTTTCAAATCGATTTGCCAAACCGTGTTCGATTTTAATACTTTTGGAGAATAAATAGCCAAAGATTTAAGTTCTTCTTCTTCTTCTCCTCCTCCTTTTTCATCTTTCATTGTTTTCTTTTTTTTTTTTACTGAACTTCCACCACCGTCACCCCCACTCCCACCGCCACCGCATAAAAATATTTTATCGTTTCCTAATTCGGTATTAATAAAATAATCCTGAGTGAAAGATGTCGATGATGATTTCCCTGAAAATTTTCCATACCTTTTAAACTTTTTTCTCCAAAATTTTTTTAAAATGGAGATTTTTTTTTTTTAGTTTACTCACCGTCGGTTTTTTTCGTCGGGAGAAGAGTTTTTTTTTTTTTTATATTATCCGATTGTGATGGTATGAGTCTTGTCCATGATCTCGTTTTAACCGTGTATTTCCATACATCCGAATATATTTTATTTAATTCGTTACGTACAGGTTTTCCACCGAACAGGTACCAACTCGTTTTATCTTTCCATAAAGCAACGTTTAATCTTGCTATTGGTGATCTTCCCTCTTGTTCCAGAGATTCTTGTTTTATAGGCCATGATTCCCATTGCCATTCTGGAATTATTATCAATATCCTCTATCTCTCTCTCTCCCTCTCACACAAATAAATCCACAAAAAGTTTTTATTAAAACTCACCTGTGACGTACTCGTTACTTGATTCCTTTAAATTATTATTATTATTATTAACGCATTGTATTTTATAAAAAAAAGAAAAAAAAATTAAAAAAAAAATTTTCATATTCGAACAAAAATAATAATAATAATAAATTTTTTTTTTTTTTTTTTATCCTTTATAATTTGTATCCATTAAATTAGAGCTCATCGATCGATGAACATCTCGCGGCGGATGCTGTTTCTGGACCACTCGACACATTTCGAATATTTTTGGCGGGAATTTTAAAAAAAATTTTGATAATTTCCTTTTTTTTTTTTTTTTATTACATACATGTCGCCGCACAAACATTAATTATTATTATTATTATTTGTATACATTATTTTTTTTTATTATTTGTTTTCAAAAAATTATTATTATTATTAACGTTTGGGAATTTTTTTTTTTTTTTTTTTTACTTTTAAATGACGTGGGAAAAACAATTAATAAAAATTTATTTAATGAAAATTAATAAAAAAAATGTTTTTTTATTTAAAACCGTGAGTAGTAAATATTTTGATATCAATTCATATAAATTCAATTGATAACACCCACGCACACCCACACACACACATGATAACAATCAATATTATAATTATTATTATTATTTTTTTTTAGTTAAGACAATATTCAAAGTAATAATAATTTGGAAAATTAAAAAAAGTTTAAATGTTGATAATATGATGAAAAGATCAATTTCTTGCCCTCATTTTTCAATAGAAAAAAATAATAATAGCCAACATGATGATGATGATGATAATAATAATAATAATTATGGAAAACCGTTAAATCGTTGTCATTCTCATTTGAGTTATTTACATAATAAATTTGATAAATTAAATTTTCCATCGGTGAGTGGCAAGAATGAAAATGATTTTATTAAATTAATAAATAAATCAAGTACAAGTAATAGTAATAATAATAATAATAATAATAATAATAATAATAATGTTCAAAATGGCTCGAAAATATTTGAACCCAGTGTTTCTCATATAAGTTCGGATAACGAATCACCAGAAAATCAATTTCCGGTTGCCGTAACGAATACAATTAAAAAAATCGGTAATTTTTTTGCAACGAACAGTTTTGAAAAAATGAGTAAAATGGCTCTTGATGGTTTTAACAGATTATTATCTTACGATCAAAAGTTATTTACAAGAAGGAAAAATAATCGAGTTATTATTTCATATCCTGGATCGAACAGACCGAGGTAAGTGGTTTTTGATTGTGTGATTATTATGAAAAGTATATTATAAATATATATTCAAAAAATTATTTTCAGGCAGCCATTTATGAATATACCACCGGGACTTGTAAATAAACGTCCTCAGGCACCGCAAGCTCCTTCTTATTATACAAATGCAGGATCTCAACGTCAAGATCAACAACAACAGCCACAGCCAACACCACAACAGCAAAGAGAAGTTATTACAACACAACCACGTTATGAACCTGGTCAAATGATGATTGCTCCAAATCCTCTAATAAATATAAGTAAGTTTTCTTTTTTTTTGGGGGGGGAGGTATTTACATAAAAATAATGATTAAATTTTAATTATTGTTTTTTAGCATATTGGGCTCCTTATCCTGATCGAATTCCACCAAATACTCCAGCTTATTTGGCTCATCTTGTTAATGCCGATTCCCTTTTTATCATACAGCAATTGGATTTACTCGAACTTTTTATTGATATACCTGAACCTAATTATTATGTTATACAAAATTCACAAGGGCAATGTCTTTATTATGCTTATGAAACGACTACGTTAGGATATTCAGGTTGTTGTCACAGTGCTCGTGGTTTTCAATTGCACATAAAAGATATTTATCATAATGAAATTATTTATTTAAATAAACCTTGTGGATGTAATAATTGTTTTTGTTGTTATCCGGTAAAATATCCCAACTTCCTATGAAAATTTTAAACAATTTTTTTTTTTTTTCATTTGTTATTGCATCGAATGAAATTATTTTAGGTAATGGAGGTTTATTCTCCTCCTATGGTACCTGTGGGAGCTATATCACAAGTTTTTAATGTTTCACATGTTGAGTTTCAAATTCTTGATGTAGATGAAAATAAAATGTTTTCCATTTATGGTCCATGTTGTTGTATGAGCTATGGTATTTGTGGAGAAGTAAATTTTAGGGTATGTGTTGTTACAATTGGAAAAATATTTTAGGAAACATACATTTGCCCAAGAAGCATCAAATCTCATTATTTTTTTTCTCAAGATTTCTGCTCTGGATAGTAATAGAACGGAAATAGGTTATATAAGAAGAGAAATATACAATCTGGTTAGAACTTATTTTACAAATGCTGATGCCTATGGAATATCATTTCCCCCAGATTTAGATGTTAGAGTAAAAGCCATATTTCTGGGAGCTCTATTTTTAATTGTAAGTCATATAAAAATAGTTATTTATAAAGACTTAAAACTACACTAAATGCGCGAAAAAAAAAAAAAAAACTAATTAAAAACAAAAAATTTATTTCAGGATTACACTTTTTATGAATAAATAAAACAGCATACATGAAATTAAGTTACAATTCTAATTAAAATATAAAAAATGCTAAGCAATATCTGATTTTCTACAACGGAAAAAAACAAAATTTTATTCAGGTTCGTTTATTTTGTACTAATTAAATGATTAATAAATAAATAAAAAATTTTTTTTATTTTTATTGCATTACAAAAATAACGAATTTCGATTCATGTTATTGTAACACAGGGCTGCCATTAAATTTTCAATAATTTCAAAAAGGGCGGTGAAAAAAAGTAAACAAATTAAAAGAGAATAATGATATTTTAAAATGTCAATATCTTCAAATTCTGCAAATGTCATTACTTTTTTACAACTAGTCGGAAAACTCAAGGTAATTTTATTTCTAAATAATGTGATAATAATAATTAAATAAAAAATAAAAATAAATTTAACCATGTTATTTTCCTGTTTTAGAATTTGAAACGAACAGGATGGGTTATCAGGAACGTGGAAGATCCAGAAACGGTTTCAGGTCACATGTACAGGATGAGTGTCATGACTTTTCTTTTACCAGAATCTGCTGGGGTTGATAAAGCTAGGTATTTAATAAAAGTATACAATATGGAAAAAGTAGTAATGAGCAGCACATTTTGTTTTTTTTTTTTAATAAAATGCTACTTGCTCTTGTTGAAATTATTACTTATTTCATTTCCTCAGATATGCTTTGCTTTAAAAAAAATAAAAATCATTTTTAAATATAATATTGCTTGTTTTTAAGGTGCATGAAATTGTCAATAGTGCATGATCTTGCTGAATGCATTGTCGGTGACATAACACCTTATTGTGGAATAGATCCTGCTGAAAAACATAGGCAAGAAGATGTTGCTATGAAGGAAATAACCCAATTGATAGGAGACAGTGGTGTAGAAATTTATAAGCTGTATAAGGTAATATTCATTTTTAATTATTAAATAATTTTAAAATTTATTTCCTTTTCATATACTTTTCTCGAATACATTTTTACTTTTCCTTTCATCGCCATTTCAGGAATATGAAGCTCAAGTAACTAACGAGTCGAAATATGTGAAAGATTTGGACAAATTGGATATGGTACTACAGGCTTATGAATATGAAAAAATTGGTGGTTATCCTGGAAAGCTAGAAGAATTTTTTAAATCAACATTAAATAAATTTTCTTTTCCATGGACTATGGATATTGTCCAAGAACTTTATAGACAAAGAAACCTATTTTTGAGTAAAAATAAAGTAAATTAATAATAATAGGTGGTGACAATTTAATTTATTCCTAATGTTGATAATAAAAAATAAAATGCATTAGTGTAATTGTATTCAATTTTTTTTTTTTTTTAATTATTTTATTTTTCTTCTCGTTCCCCTTAGTAATATTAGTACAATATGTAATTTAAAAAATTTGTGACTCGTAAAAAATTTTATTTACTCAAACATATAAGTAACAAACTAAAATTATTCAAGTTTGAAGATTTTTTTTTTTTTTTTTTATAAAAATACATTTCTTAAAATACTAAATAAATTATTTTCGATTATCATGAGCCAAAAATCAGTAATTGTTTTAAATATTTTAACTTGGCATAAATAATACTATGTTTTATAAATTGTGCCAAAATTTTCAATTTTTATTTTATTTGAAATTATAAAAAAAAAAACTGTTCAGGCTCATTAAATTGATTTTTTGATTGAAAAAAAAAAAAAAAAAATTAATTAAATTTTTACTTTAATCTATATATATATATATATGTATGTAACATTTTTAATGGTGGAAAATTTAAAAAAAAAACAATTCAATTTTGTTAATCGCAGTAAAATAGATTAATAATAATTTTTTTTCATGGTTAAGCTATTATTAGGATAATCTCTAATAATCATAATAAATTTGAATTCTCATCATACATAAAGATCCATTAAAAAAATTGTCGGTTATTTATTATTATTATTGTAGCTTTATAAACAAAATATCGAAGAAAAAAATTTCAATTGAATATTTGCAAAAGGAAATTAATTAAATTAAAAAATTTTGAGATTTAAATAAAGTGAACTACTTTGTGAATGAAAAGCGTTTATACGTGAAATTAAAACAATTGGTACACAAAAACAAATTACAATTGCTTTCAAAAGTTTTAAAATTTCAATTCGAGTGTTAAGTGCAATTGTTTATTTACTGTGATATTCACAACACACTCATTAAAAAACTCATTTTTATTAATTTATATAACTACTTTATGTTTATTTTAATTTTATATTTTTCTCTTTCATCAAAATAATAATAATAAAAAAAAAAAAAAAGGAGAAAAACTTTGAATCAAGTATTCGACTTTGATTAAATCAATTTAATATTTACAGGTTTCATTTTGTGACGTCATTAATTTGTTTTTTTTTTTTTTAATTTCAGATTAATTGATATTGATTGAGGTTAAAAGTGCTGAAGGTAAAAAATAAAAGGTAGGGTTAAATCAGCAAAAAACAAAAAAAAAAGTACAACTCAATTGTAAGCAAAAAATAATATGATTGAATTTTAATAAAAAAAACGCAAAAACAGCTAAAAATTTACAAATCTTGGAATAACTAAATCAACATATGCAAAAGCAAAATGAAATGCAGTTTATATTAATATATAAAAAGTTTTTAATTTGTTCCAGGGATGATTAAAGAAAAACATTTCAGTGTGATTCTTTAAGCCCAAGATAAAAGGCAATCATTATAAAAAATGATGAGGTTTTAAGATGAACAACTTAGAGCAACTGTGAGAAAATCTTCAAAGCTTACGGTAATGACACCTTTCATTTCTGTATCTCTTACACGGAATGCATCTGAAACAAAATTGACGACATTTTTATTATGAAAACGATTTTATCGAAACAGAAAATTTTTGAATATTTTACTTTAGAACTTACCGGTAAATCTTTGAATTTGTATGCAAACTAAAATAAACTGATCAACTGATATCCTCTTTTTAGCTACTTTATCAGCTCTTCCTATCAAAAATTTAATAAACTCATTTGAAAACCTGTAACCCATTTGTTGAAAAGCTTGTGACACTTCTTCTTCTTCAATAACTCCGCTTTGATCTTTATCGAACGATTTGAATGTTTGCAACCACTGATTAACAAATTTATAAAGATGCTGAAATTCATCGACATTTACTGTACCAGATTGATCTTTACTGAACATACCTAAAAAAAAAAAAAAAAACAAAATGTCAAAATGTGTGTCTAACTCTTTATAAATGAAGGAATGATTCAGAAGCAGGCGCGCATACTTATTAATAATTCGCAAACTGGCAAATTAAAATTTTTCCCTTGTCCGTTAACAAGTGCGCTTTGAAGTTCTTTCGCGGTTATTTTACCAGATCTATCGACATCCACTGCGTTGAACCATTGTTGAATTTCTGGATCTGCTGTACCGTAACCACCATATCCCCCAGGTAAGTTAGGATAACTTAATTGAGACGGACTCTATAAGTAAAATTTAAACGATTTAATTCTTAAGCTTTTTGGCAGACCTTGCACACAAAACATTCTTCCTGTCAACCCTATAATTAACTAATTTCATATTTTAACTCCGTTTAAAATACTAATGAAAAAAAAAAAAACTAACATCTAACCCGATGGTGAATAGTACTTACATAGGACATTATTTAAATAAAATGGCGTTCGATAAAGGTAATAAAAACTTTCTATTTAAAATTTAAAATATTGCATTAAAGGCATTAGCTAGATTTGATAATTAGGAGTTGTTCAATGCCGTGGAACTAGTCTAATTATTTTTCGGATACGTATTCATTTAAATTTATTAAGTGGAAGAAGAATTTTTTTCATGACACGTTTAATCATTTTTTTTTTTTTTTATTAAAATTAAATGATTTATATATATTGTAATAAATAATTAATAATTTATTTTTACAAATTTTTTTTTTTAGAAACCGGTTGTTTTTCGTTCTATATTAATAACTACAAAATAAAGTTAATTTTTTTTTAAATTAAAAAAAGTTCATTCAAAAAGAATTTTTGACAAAAGTATAATATAAAATATTTTTGGATTTTTTATTAACAACCTAACAAATATTTAAATGTTTTTCTATTCTAACAAAATTAATTTTTTTAAACAAAATGTTTACAATGTTTATAAAAAAAAAAAAAAAAACATTGAAACTAAAATTAATATGTATGTATATTATTAACAACCGGAAAAGAAAAAAAAATAATTAAAACAAATTGACTTTATATTATTGACCTTTTAACAATATTATTATATATTTAAAATTTATCATTTAACAATAATAAAATTCATTTTTTATTAAAATGTTATAATATGAGCTCTGCAAATAACCTTGGATAAAAAAAGAAAAAATGCCATTAGTGTTAATGAAAAAGGAGAAAAAACATATTTTTTTAATCACTTCCCCTTTTATATTATTATTATTATCGACAACAAAAACAAAATCAATAGAAATTATTATTATTGATTATTAATTTATTACAAGTAGTAAAATTTTCATGGAAATTTATAAATATTGCATTATGTAATTTCATTTAGGAAAATTTTTTACCATAAAGTAGGAAGTTAAATAAAAAATATTTACATATCGGTTAAATATTTTTCAAGTTTATTCTGTCGCTTTAAAACTTTAAATCAAACACATTATTGACTCAGTTAGAACATGAATAGTTTAAATCATTTCACCACACATGACCATATATGGCTATTGTTATGAAAAAAAAAAAAAAAAAAAATTTCTCTCATACCAAATTAGGTATTATAGGAGGTAGTTAAGAAAATAATTTTTTTTCATCATAGAAAAACAATTAAAATGAATTATTTTAATAATTTTACATAAAAATATCAGTTAATAATAATAAATGATTTATGATAAATAAATAAAATAAAAAATAATAAAAACATTTGTTTTATTCTTTTTTAATAGCCGCTCCTCTTTCTCATTTATTTACACAACAACCAACCAACCAACCAATTATATTATATTATATAAAAAATTTTTTTTATTAAATTCATCATCAGTTATATAAAGTGACAGAATGCGTTTAGTTTGTTTTTTTTTATTATTATTATCATCATATTATATCGAATCTGCTATTATATACGAACATCAATTTGAAATTCCAGGTAATAAATCATAAAAATTATTAACTTTTTTTTTTTTTTAACAAAATAATACAAAATTTTTTTTTTGCTGAGTTAATAATTATAAAGTGAGCAACAACAAAAAAATGATGAGCCAGCCAGTCAGCCATGAGTCTCATCTTTGTAATTTAAACCAATTTTAATTTTCATAACAAACAAACAAACAAAAAATTTTTTTTGGTTTCAACAGGTCACGAAGGACAGTGTTATGATAACGATAGAATTATTTTTTATAATAAAGGAGATGTTATGAAACCTGGGGTGAAAAATATTGAATGCATACAAAAAAAGTGTTTAGGTATTGATAATAATATTATTGGGAAAAAAATTAAAATTGAAATATTAACGTGAGTAATAATAATGATAATGATAATAAATTTAATAATAATAATTATTTATAATAAATCTAATTATTATTATTATTATTAGGTGTCCTGTTGTGGAAGCTGGACCCGGTTGTTTTATTATACAAGATATAAATAAAAAATATCCGCACTGTTGTCCTAAAATCGCCATTTCTTCTAAATTTCCTAATACGAATTTATCTTGCGAACAACAACAACAACCACAACAACAAACAGAATAAGAAAGAAAAAATCTAAAAATAAAAAAAAAATAAAAAAAAAAAAAATTTGAAGAGTTGTGTGTGTGTTAAAAAAAGTGAAGGTGAAATAGAATTCCATCTATTTATATAATTTTTTTCAAGGATATATTAAATTTTTTCGGTAAGTTTTTTAATTATTATTATTATTAATATGTTAATATCGAGAAAATTTTTTTTTTTTTATAAATAATATCGATCGATAACTCGAAACGATTAATTTTTTCTCTTTTTTTTCTTTCTTTCCCTCTCACACACACACGCGCGCATAAAATCCGCCATTTTGAATAAAAAATCCGCGCTTTAATTTTTTGTTTTTTATTTTAATTATTTCTTTTTTTTTTTGCAGGCAGAATAAATCGTTTATTTTCGTTGGGGGGAACCCTCTCAAAAACATTAAAAAGTGATGAAAAATAAATTTTTTCTTTTATTTTTTTATTTTTATTTCGTTGTTTGTCGGTGTGCCGTGTTTTTAGAACGGCAACCGATAATTCCAGGTAATTTATTAATTAATAATTTTTTTTATTGAAACTTTTTTATTTATTAATTATTATTATTATCATTTGAAAATAAAAGGTCATCAAGGTCAATGTTACGATAAAGATGAAAATGTTTTTTATAAACCCGGTCAAGAAATGAAATGGAACGGTGAAGAATGTGCGAGAAAAATTTGCGCCGTGTCTTTTGGTACTGGACCATCGTACATAGAAATACAAACGTGAGTGTTTGTGTGTGAAATACAAACGAACAAACGTACAAACGTGCAAACGAACAAACGTACAAACGTACAAACGAATAAACGTACAAACGAAAAAGATAACAATAAATTATATGCTTTTTACAGGTGTGCGAAAATAGACGTGTCACCAGAATGTTACATAAAAATAAATTCCAGTAAACCATATCCGGAATGTTGCGGACAAATTATTTGTCCAAATAATTTATCACACGAATATTATGATAACAACAACGATGTTGATAATTGATGACGTCATCATTAAATAATAATAATAGTAATACGATCACGTGTTATCAATAATACATTTGGTTAATTTTTTATTAAAAAATTTTTACACAAAATTCTAACACAAACAAACAAACGAATAATTTTTATTTATTTATATATAAACAAACCGTTATTTATTTTTTAATAAATTGATAAGGATTTATAATTGATAAGAAATGAAATAATAATAATAATAATAATTGATTGCAATAATTAAAATTTATTTATATCAAAACAAAACAAAATAGTTTTTAGTTTTTACATTCTAATTTTGAACAACAATTCGGATACTTGTTTTCAGCGTTCGGTTTGAGTTTGCATTCGCTTTTATTGTTTGCATTTGCACACCTAAAACATAAATATAACTCTTAGAAATTATTTTTTTCCCGTCGTGAATTGTTCGCCATTTTTTTTCCCCCGAAAATGGACTCCGAAGACACCAATGGAGTCACCGGGAATTGAATCTGGCTCCAAATCGACAGAAAAACAAAAAAAATTTCGTTCTCGTTCATCATTATTATTATTAATTACGTAAAAAACAAATCTAATGACTAAATAATAATAATAATTAAGGTATTATTAATAAATTACCTTTCGACATCGATGTGAACGGAACCGGGTGCTGCCGTACCTCGACAAACTTTTCTAACGCAAGGTTCGTCTTTAATGGCTTCTCCTAATTTATAAAATTTATTATCTTTTCCTTTGCATTCTCCTTCGTGTCCTATCAAATCAAATCGTTTCAAAAACCTTAAATAATAATAATAATAATAATAATAATAATAAAATTTCGTTTTCCTCACCTGGTACTTCATCTTGATATTCTTTAACGACTCCTCCAGATTTAATTCCGATTGTAAAAATCGATAATAATAATAATAAAACAATCGTTGCTGTCGTCATTATCGTGGATATTTTTCCCAACAGAATATAAAACGTATCTGAACAAATTTCAATTTTTTATTTATTTTTTGCCATTTAATAAAAATGTTTAGTTATTATCATTTAAAAAAAAAAAAATGTCAAAGTTCGATCATCTGAAAGGGTCATCATAAGTTTATATTATTATTATTATTATTATTATTATTATCAATTCAACAGGAAGTTTCATGTTGTTTATTTACGATTGGGAAAATACATTTTTTTTTTTTTAATGAAAAATTTACGCAGTTCTTGGTAAATATTCTCATAAGGAAAACCTTGTGAATGCGTTTTTTTTTCTACTCGCCTGATAAAATTAAACGTTTTCTGAACAAAAAAAAAAAAAATTTATTCTTGTTTATAATGCCCTTGGAAAAACGTTTTTTTTTTTTTTTTTGGCTAAAAGCCCACAACAGTTGATAAACATGAAATGTTTTTTTTTTTACAACAAAGTTTCCAGAGAATCATTCGTGATAAAAATTATTTTAAATTAAATTAATTTATTATTATTATTATTTGTTCAGAATTTCAAAAGAATCGACAAAGTTTCCGCTGTTATCAATAGGGGAAAAACATGAAAGGTTCAAAATAAATAAAACAATTTTTTTTTAATATTATTATTATTTATTTAAAAAAAAAAAAAACAAAACATAATTACTAAAAGTTATTAAAAATATAAAAAAAATATTAATACTAAAAAATAAATTTAATTAAATATTATTGAATCACTTTTGCTTTGAGATGATGCATGAGTTAAAGACCCTGTGGAAAATGATTGTGATCCACTCGATGAGTGACCACCGAAAGAAGAGCTGCTGGATTGACTGGAAGATGAACTTCCAGAGCCACCGAAACCGCTTGATTGACTAGAAGATTGACTGCCGAGACCTCCACCGAGACCTCCACCAAGGCCTCCACCGAAACCTCCACCACTTCCTCCACTTAAATATCCTCCGCTGCCTTTATGAAATCCTCCCGATACTTTACCCAATCCACCACCGATGCCGAAGCTTCCGCCATGACCTTTGCTAACACCAAAAGTGAGCCCTCCTCCTAATGCACCTCCGTGAACGCCACCGAGACCACCTCCACTAAGTCCTCCAAATTTTCCTCCGTGAACACCGCCGCTGACTCCACCTAAACCTCCTGATAATGAACTGGATGACGATTGCGAACTAGAAGAAGATCCTCCACCGAGTCCTCCGCTAAAACTACCTCCACCGAGTCCTCCACTAAGTCCTCCGCCGTGAACGCCACCAACTCCTCCACTAACCCCACCTAATCCTCCTGATAATGAACCAGATGATGATTGTGAACTAGATGAAGATCCTCCACCAAGTCCCCCGCTAAGACTTCCACCTCCGAGTCCTCCACTAAGACTTCCACCACCGAGTCCTCCGCTAAGACTTCCTCCACTGAATTTTCCTCCGTGGACACCTCCGACTCCACCGCTAACTCCGCCTAATCCTCCTGACAATGAACCGGAAGATGATTGCGAGCTAGATGAAGATCCTCCACCGAGTCCTCCGCTGAGACTACCTCCACCGAGTCCTCCGCTAAGTCCTCCTCCGTGAACGCCACCAACTCCTCCACTAACCCCACCTAATCCTCCTGATAATGAACCAGATGATGATTGTGAACTAGATGAAGATCCTCCACCAAGTCCCCCGCTAAGACTTCCACCTCCGAGTCCTCCACTAAGACTTCCTCCACTGAATTTTCCTCCGTGGACACCTCCGACTCCACCGCTAACTCCGCCTAATCCTCCTGATAATGAACCGGAAGATGAACTAGAGGAAGATCCGCCACTTAAACCTCCTCCAAATCCACCGCTATGACTTCCACCACCGAGACCTCCGCTAAGGCTTCCACCACCGAGACCTCCGCTAAGGCTTCCTCCACTTAGTCCTCCTCCGTGAACACCGCCGACTCCGCCACTGACTCCACCTAATCCTCCTGATAATGAACCAGATGATGATTGCGAGCTAGATGAGGATCCTCCACCAAGTCCACCGCTGAGACTGCCTCCACCGAGTCCTCCACTTAATCCTCCTCCGTGAACACCACCGACTCCACCACTAACTCCACCTAATCCTCCAGATAATGAACCGGATGATGATTGGGAGCTAGATGAAGATCCACCTCCGAGTCCTCCACTTAGACTGCCTCCACCGAGTCCTCCGCTAAGGCTTCCTCCACTGAGTCCTCCTCCGTGAACACCACCGACTCCACCGCTAACTCCGCCTAACGCTCCTGATACTGAGCCAGACGATGAACTGGATGAGGACCCACCACTTAATCCTCCACCGAGTCCTCCTCCGAATCCGCTGCCATGGCTTCCACCACCGAGTCCTCCGCTAAGACTTCCTCCACTTAATCCTCCTCCGTGAACACCGCCAAGTCCACCACTAACTCCACCTAATCCTCCAGATAATGAACCGGAAGATGAACTAGAGGAAGATCCACCAACTAAACCTCCTCCAAATCCACCGCTATGACTTCCTCCACCAAGTCCTCCGCTAAGACTTCCACCTCCGAGTCCTCCGCTAAGACTTCCTCCACTGAATTTTCCTCCGTGAACACCTCCGACTCCACCGCTAACTCCGCCTAATCCTCCTGATAATGAACCGGAAGATGAACTAGAGGAAGATCCGCCACTTAAACCTCCACCAAATCCAGCGCTATGACTTCCACCACTGAGACCTCCGCTAAGGCTGCCTCCTCCAAGTCCACCACTGAGTCCTCCTCCGTGAACACCGCCAAGTCCACCACTAACTCCACCTAATCCTCCAGATAATGAACCGGATGATGATTGGGAGCTAGATGAAGATCCACCTCCGAGTCCTCCACTTAGACTGCCTCCACCGAGTCCTCCGCTAAGGCTTCCTCCACTGAGTCCTCCTCCGTGAACACCACCGACTCCACCGCTAACTCCGCCTAACCCTCCTGATACTGAGCCAGACGATGAACTAGATGAGGACCCACCACTTAATCCTCCACCGAGTCCTCCTCCGAATCCGCTGCCATGGCTTCCACCACCGAGTCCTCCGCTAAGACTTCCTCCACTTAATCCTCCTCCGTGAACACCGCCAAGTCCACCACTAACTCCACCTAATCCTCCAGATAATGAACCGGATGACGATTGGGAGCTAGATGAAGATCCTCCACCGAGTCCTCCACCGAGTCCTCCTCCGAATCCGCTACCTCCGGAACCCGCAAAAGCAGAACTACCGGATTTGGAGCCCGAAAAACCTCCAAAACCAGAACTTGCATCACTACTAGCACCTACTCCACTTCCTCCTCCACCAACCGAACTGGCTTTAGAATGAGATGATGATATACTTCCACCCAATCCTACACGTAATAATTTCCTTTATAATATTAAACAAAATAGAGAACTTAAATAAAGTTATATTAAATTTTATATTATACCTAAAAAGCTTCCACCGATACTGAAACTATGACTATCAGCATGTGATCCTCCTCTTCCAGTTCCAAAAGGATGAAGAAGTTTTTCGGCAGTGTGACTAATAAGGCCTCCAATCGGAGTCAAATGTCTTGCTCCAGTCGTTGGATGAGCATAACAGACAACATCGAGTACCAAAATGGCCAAAATAATTTTTATCATGGTGTTAAATCTACGAAAACAAAAAACACGTTAAAAAAAAATTTTGTTTTAAAACACACAAAACAAACGCGACCAGTCACATAAACCTATTTTTTTAAAACTATTATTATTAATAAATAAATAAATAAAAATTACCGAAATAATAATAATAATAAATAAATAAATAAAATTTTATTAGACGATTCGCGAATCCAACTGATTAATCCGGAATCAACCACTAGAATAAAAAATTTATATCTACTCTTTTATTTTTATATGAAAGATTCCAGTCAAAGATGGTAATGATGCCTGACTGTGCTGAACCGCAACAACAACAAACACAACAAACAAACAAACAAGCAAGCGAGCAAAAAAAAAACCCAGAGTGTCAGAACCAGGTTCAAGTATTAATAATAATAATAAAAAAATCATTTTTTCCATTTAAATTTGCTGGAGTTTAAAAGTCTAATTTCCTTCTTTTTGTTATCCAGAGAGAGGGGGAGGAGGAGGGAGGAGGGGAAGAAGGACGGTTTGAAATATTTATTGATTTAATTCCACGTCTTTTTTCTATAAAATCTCCAAAAAAAAAAAAAATTTATTATTATTAATAATTAAAAAAAACCAACCAACCGAAACGATCGATTTTTAAATAATTTTTCACATTCATCATCATCATCATTATTATTATTATTATTCGTTTCTCCCGGGTGTTGATCCAATGAAAACGTTTATATTTTTTAAATTAGTTTTAACTTATACGCGAATTTTTTTTTTTTTAAATTAAAATAAAAAGAACTTTTTCATTATTTTTATAACAATATGGACGACGTTCAACAAGTCGATTTCGACCGGTTTCCAGGTACTTTTTCATCATCACCATCATCATCAACAACAACATTTCGTAAGATATCGGGGAAGGGAAGGGGGGAAGGGAAAAAAAACGTAAAATTAATTACCTTTTTTTCTTAAAATTTTTTAATATTTTTTACAACAACGACAATAATAATAATAACATTCGCACACGCACAAAAATATAAATTTGAAAACAAACAAACAAACAAACGAATAAATAATAATAATAATAATTTTATTATTATGTAGTTTGGGTCAACGCATTTGGGTCATTTAATTATTTTCCGCCATTTTGAATTTTTTTTTTTTCCCCTTCGTAATAAAAAATAAAACGCGTAAAAAGTCAAAAGAGAGAGAGAGATGACGACAGTGGCGTCAAATACAAATATGATAAATAAATCTTTTAAGAAAATTAATAATAATAATAATAATAATAATAATACAAGAGGTCAAATTAATATGGCGAGAAAAAAAAAAAGTATTAAAAGCCAAGGATGCGAAAAACGACGAGGAAAACGTTTTTCTTTTTTTTTTTTTTATATATAAAATTTAATTAAAATAAATATAAAAAAATTCGTCGCATTTAAAATAATTAAAAAGCGCGGGAAAATTTAAAAAAAAAAAAATGGCATTTGCGTGAGTGCGTGCGTGTGCGTGTGTGAGTTATTAAATACAAAATAATTTAACGTGAAAATCTTTACTACAACTGAGATGAAACAACAACAATTTTTTTTCTTTTTTTTTTTTTTTTGTAATTCCAGGTACTTATATTCCGCACCTGACCTCTCGGGTATCAGAGTCCTCTGGATGGAGTACCTGCCTTGTTTGTTAAAAATTCATTTTGCGTATATGTGAACAATATACGACCAAATGCAAATTTTTCTTATTACCATGTTACATGGTATCATCAATGTTTAACCGTTTGTGTTCTGCATTTTCCATTTATTATTATTATTATTGGAATTGCTTACAGTGTGTATGCGCGTTTAATTCTAGAACTTTCTAGAACGTTAAATTCGCACACACATCAGAACTTTCTTTTTTTTTGGCTAACGTTTTGTATTATTTTTCCAGGTCGTTTATTATTTGATTATTCAATTCTAAATGTATCGCGACATTTATCATTATTATTATTTTTTATATAAATAATTTAATGCCCTTTTATGTGTTTAAAAGGAAAGGAAAAAGGTTGTGGATTTTTGTGGATTCGTGTCAGAAGAAAAAAAAAAAGTTTTTTAATTTTACATATTATATTTATACACGATTACATATACATAAACAAACAAAAAAAAAAATTTACTTAAAATTACTTATTTTAAACATTTTGTAATAATTTAATGGAACAAAAGTGAGTCTTTTCCTCCGTGAGATGATGATTGACTTGATGAAAAACTTCCACCTCCGAGACTACCGGAAGAACTGCTAGAATGACTTACGGAGCCTCCGAAGCCAGAACTACTGGATTGGCTGCTAGATTGGCTAAATGAACCTCCTGATCCACCGAAACCTCCGTGTAAGCCTGATCCACCCAAACCGCCGCCGTGAACACCTGATCCACCGAAACCACCACCGTGAACGCCTGATCCTCCGAAACCACCGCCGTGAACGCCGGAGCCTCCAAAGCCGCCTGCTCCACCATGTACTCCACGACCTCCACCGTATCCACCGGCACCACCTAGTCCTCCGTATCCTCCATGAACTCCAGCACCTCCTAATCCACCGACACCACCGTGAGCCCCACTAACGCCGAGTCCACCAGCTCCGCCATGTGCACCACTAACGCCGAGTCCACCGGCTCCGCCATGAATTCCAACACCTCCTAATCCACCGGCACCACCGTGAGCCCCACTAACGCCGAGTCCACCGGCTCCGCCATGTACTCCACGACCTCCAGAAACTCCAAAACCTCCAGCAGAACCGTGACCTCCGGCAACTCCTAATCCGCCAGCTCCACCGTGACCACCACTAAGTCCTAATCCACCGGCTCCACTGTGACCACCACTAAGTCCTAATCCACCGGCTCCACTGTGACCACCGCTAACTCCTAATCCACCAGCTCCTCCATGACCTCCAGCAAATTCTAGTCCGCCGGCTCCACCATGTCCTCCGGTAACTTCTAATCTACCAGCACCTCCATGAACTCCAGTTACTTCCAATCCACCGAGTCCTCCGGTAACTCCTAATCCGCCAGCTCCACCGTGACTTCCACTAACTCCCAATCCTCCAGCTCCTCCGTGACTTCCACTAACTCCCAATCCGCCAGCTCCTCCGTGACTTCCACTAACTCCCAATCCGCCAGCTCCTCCATGACCTCCAGCAAATTCTAATCCACCGGCTCCTCCATGTCCTCCAGCAACTCCCAATCCACCGGCTCCACCGTGGCCTCCTCCGAAACCACCTCCGAGACTTCCGCTGCTACTTTGAGACGAGCTTTGAGAACTGCTTAAAGATCCACTTCCGCCCAAACCACCGTGTAAAGATCCAGATCCACTCAATTCCTTAGAATGTCCCACACTATCATGTCCCAATCCAACTTCTAATCC